GATTTTTAGGTATAGCCAACTAAATGCATGCAGGTTTTCATTTGAGGTATATCTATTAAATAAATACAACAAATGGTAGGATTGAAGCACAAAAAAGAGAAAATAAAACTTGCTGTAGTGCATTTCCTTCACTCTAGAGGCACTGTGATCCATCAAAAGTGTGATATCTAAAGTGCCTCCAGGGGCAGCTCCTATATGTAGGAAAATAGTATCTTTCTTGCCAACCTCCTAAAATAGTGGTGGGGGGAGGAGGAGGTGAAATACTAGGATTGCAGTAAATACAAAGGCAGAGTAATTCTTATAGCTGAAACATTTGTTTAGATAAACCGTGTTTTGCACATTTCTATCCTGGATGTATGTATTGGGTAATATTAGGTGAATCAAATATGTATTGGAATATAAAATGGAATTGTAAGAAGGGAGAGACAAATGGTGCCACTGTTGTCATAAATATAGATTGTTAATACTTTATTTTTAATGTTACAATTTGGACTTGTGTCAAGTGTTACCGGCAAATCAGGGGTATGGTAAATGCAGGTTACCCATGGGGTTCCCACACCCTGTCGGTCCACTTCGATGTGGTGAATCTTGTGTTGTCTGTGAGCTAAACTTAGAGCATGTATTTTGCTGATCTTGGACCCTACATTTCATAAAGATAAAGGTCTAGTCACTAGTGATGGCTGCATGGAAAAGGCATTGTCTATGGAGGATTTTTTTTAATTTTTTTTTTTAAATGAATGCTTTTGTTGGGACACTGTATTTCACAAGTATGTGGTATATTTTGTTTTGCAAATGTATGTGAGAAACCAGCATTCAATCAGTTTTAGAATGTGTGGCATTTGCATTGTCATAAATATGTGTGGGGAGGGGCAAGTGAAAGTCTTTCATACCCTGCGTTTACAGTGCAAGTTTGTGTTTAGATCCATGTGTATTATACGTTTACAGTATAAACTAATCTGCAAATAGTTTAGCCAGCAAATGAACATCCCACTTTTCCAAGATCTGCTCTAATGAAATAATTTTTTTTTTTTTAAATAAAACGATTTGCAGATTACCAAATTCATTCTCTGAGGGGGGTGGGTTACTTTTGAAAGCAAGAGTGTACAGTCTATCCATGCTTGCAGGTCCAGCTGGAGCCCACGTGCTGCCTTATTTATGTAGCCCTTGGCTGCTCCCAGCATGCAGTCAGTGCTAGGCAGGCACATGGTATCTATGCCAAGCAGTTGTCAGTGCGGTTCATTGTGAGGTGTCCAGATAACACTTTGAAATAGTCTGCGTTCGCTCAAACCATGAGCTGGGGCCCACAGTGCTCCCTAAAGTCCTCAACGTTCCATCCCAGCCCGTCCTAGCCAATCAGTCGCGGCAGGGGGAGGAGCTTCCGGTTCCTGGTAGAATCTGATACATTCCGGCTTGCTGATGAGCACGCTGCTTGTAGATCGCTGCGGATAGTGTGTGTAATACGGCCCCTGCCTGCCTCTCTATCTCCTCACTGTCTACAGAGCCCTGTCTGCCGCCATGCCAACTCTAAGGTAATCTCCCATCTCTGATCACCTGCATGCCTGCCCTGCCATCAGCCCAGGGACTGTCTTCTGCCACACACAGGTCATCTCTGCTGATGTGGACAACTTTTCACGAACATATTCCATGTCCCTTCCCTCATGCTGTCAGATGCACAAGCTTTTTACTATAATCGTCGCATAGGCGTGTACCCACTAAATTTGGGGGAAGCCGATCTTGCTGCCTTGCGCGATGCTCAGCTCGCTCATGCTGCTGAATACAATTTATTTCTGTTTGCAAGCATGCCATGCATTGCATGAGATCGGCATTGCTGCTTGACAGACATGTGTTATGTAATCCAACAAGGTGTTCCAGAGTTGCTAATGTTGTAAGGATTAAATAAGTCTGTTGGGAAATTTCTTCAATTTGGACATCTTGACAGGGTCTCCCTACACTAGTACTGCACCTGTTCTGTCCTTGGGTTATTGGAGTGACACGGTTTGGCAAGCTTGCTAAGCGAGAAAGTTTAGCAAAGAACAAACACGGACAGATGCTAAAGTGTTTCATAATGGTTTCACACTGTGCTTTTATATATAAAAATCAAATCACTCTTAAATGCTAATCTAGTTATTCCGCAGCACTTTAATGTGTAAACCATTGTATTTTTTATAAATCCGAGGTGATCTCCAATGATGCTTTGCAAATTTTAAGAATGGAAAAAGGAAAAGCGCAGCTCTAAAACAGCTGGGTTGTACCTGTTTAATGCTGAGTGATTTAAATCTAGAGATCAATCATCAGCCTGTCTTGTCTGGAAGCACTTTTAGTGATCTAGATACACACGGTTCTTTTTGTAAAAATCGCTTACAGCCATACTTTGTTCCATTTAATCTGTGGGTACAAAATGCTTAACATAAATTTATAATTTAATTTCTAGGACAACATCCAAATTACCTTCTTAATGAAATTAAATTAATTTGCATAATTATTCTGCATATTAATGTTAAGAACATAGCACACCTAAATATTGGGTTCAGAAGTCTTTATTTTTATTAAAAAAAAAATTTGGTGCAATAAAGGTCAACAAAAGCTAGTCAATGCCATTATTTCAGTACTGATCTATAATCCCATTGAAATTACCACCTCTTTAGTCTCGTCTGTTAGTTAGTGGTACTGTTGCCATTTCACAGCTCTTAATCAATCCTAGTAAAATGGTTTTGTTGATGACTTAAAAGCATCATTGCAAGAGTCCAAAATACTGATGGAAATGTTGGGTTTTGCTTTTTTTTTTTTTTTAACAACTAAATGAAAGCATCGCATGTAGTAATGTGATTTATGAATAGAGATCACATTTATAGCAATGGAATCTTTTAAAACAAGTTTTGAGACTTAACCAGACAGTTAAGGAATTTGCGTTTTCAATTTTAGCACTATTCTAGCTGCTGTGAAATCAAAGTACAATACGCACCATAAATAAATCCCTTTGTTTCAGCAAAATGAAATGTTCAAACTTTGAATAGCTAATTAAGAAAACAGTACCATGAAAATAAAGAAAAGCCAGTCACAAATGTAATTGTGCTTCGTTGCTGTTTTATATTTGTTTCCAAGTGACAATACTTTTTTTTTTCTTCCCCTTTCTTTTATGCTGTGTATAACTATTATCCTTTCTGAGTTATGCAACTTGCAAGGCCACAGAAATTTTGTTGGTGTCGTGTTTATAAAAAAAGAAATATATATATATATATATATCTCAATATATATATTTATTTTATTTAAATGTTTGTGGATATAAGACATTTGCTGTTCCATTCATGACCAGGACTATGCAAATTCTGTCACTGCCCTGGTAGGCCGACATTTAAACTGTTCAATATATTGCTGTTTTACAGAATTGTTTACCCAAATTAGAGTATGTATGCTATCCCTTGCTGGCAGCGAAAACCCATATAAAGGTGGAAAAGAAGTTGACATTCTTTCCATGGGTAATTATTACTTCTAACCCCTCTAGTAGCTTTTACCCAAGGTGGGATGGTTTTCTTTCATTTTACCTTTTGTATCTTTGTCTCGGTTTGCCAATGGATTGCTCTCCAGCAGTCCAGGTAAATTTCCAAATGGGTTTTATTCTGTGTTGGATATAGTTGTGGAGCTGTTCTGGGCAAGATCCATTGGAAGGAAGTGGTCTGGCATGTTTAAAGCAAACAAACTGAGATGCTAGGTATTGGCTATGATGCAAAAACCTCGCATTAGTTTGCCTACAGAGATCTGTAGGCCAAATACTGGTCTGTCATTATGTTAATTGTTGCTTTTTGGATTATAGATTCCCCGACCATTTGTCAGCACTGTTCACCTTTCCCTGGTGAAATCCAAGTTAATGGATGATTACTCTCCTCCTTTTCAGCGTGGGGACTCTTCCACTGCAACCTTCAGCTCCTCCTTCAATGGTCTCAGCATCCAAGCTGACATCACCTGAGATCTCTTACAATCAGTAGCTTCTCATGGCGAGCCAATGGATTGTAACTAGGCATGCGTGGCCAATCTCTATCCTGAAATCAAATGCTGATCACAAACCACGTTTTATTGGAGGAGAGTAGAGTTTAACTCTGTTCTAGAGGAGGAAGCACCTCTAGGGGTCTGCCAGGAAGACCTCCACTAGAGGGTATTTAGTAGAAACTGCAATGTTTACAATGGGAATTTAATGGTCCTTAGAACTTATCTAGAAAGAAAGGGAAAAATATAAATCTTTATTCAAAGCCACACGTTTATTCTACCAACAGAGCTGGTATCGTGCAGTGTTTATTTGAGCTGTGAACATCATGTTATGAATGAAGCTGTACTAAAAATGAATGCCAAGTCTTGGCAAGTGTTGTGTGTATTTCGTGGTTATGTCTTCAGATTTTCTCCTATAATATTATAAATGGAGTGCCATGGTCACATCCTCCTTTTTATGAGAGAACAAAATGCCTTTTGGTATTTAGAGATGGTGGCGATCATCAATTTGTTCGTAAACCTTAGTCTTGCCCTAGATCTGATCTCACAGCTGGAAGGGATAGATTACAAAGTAGGTACATTGCCATCTGTCTCTTCTGTCCTTTCTCCAGTTCGCTTGATATACGCTGTGCGGTTTCCTGTAGAAGCTGCTGTCTCCAACTACAATCCTGCCCGGGAGGGTTGTCTTTTTAAAAAGTAAATAAATATGATATCTGAACATCTGAAAGCTCTTCCATTTAGCCTTGTGGGAATGTACAGCACTACACATGGTCAGATAAAATGTTTTCAGATCTTACAGCCATTAGTAGCTTTAACCTCTTGTTGTCTTGGCTATGACTATTATGCAAAACTTTAAAGATGTCGGCAGTCACGTTATAATCGAAAAGGGGGGTTGGGGGGAAGAACCTTTTGTATCTCCCTCCAAATTTTTTTTTTTTTTTTGGAAAGTCATGTGGAATTGTGGATTTTACAGCTTCAGAACGCTGTACGTCTAGATCAGGGGTCCTCCAACTCCGGCCCCCCAGATGTTGCTGAACTACAACTCCTTTTGATTCTTTGAATTACATAGATAACCAGAGAATCATGGGAGTTGTAGTTCAGCAACATCTAGGGGGGCCGGAGTTTGAGGACCCCTGATCTAGATGATAAAGACAGAACTTGTGCTCTTTCTGTTCTTCAGACTGAGAGTATTTAATTTTGCAAAGTACATTTTATAGAGCCGCTTTTAGATAACTTATCACAAGCCTGGCTTGCTCTTTTGAGCTTGTGATCAGATTATTTCGCTTAATTCCTGCATCACTGTCTCCTCTTCAAAAGCATATTGGCCGGAGGGAAGTGATCACGTTGGAAACATGGAATATTTTGTGGGTTTTTGTTGATTGACAAGCCTGTCTTGTGGAAATAATTAGCAGTTACCTCAGAACAGACTATTTGTTTTCCTGTAGTACAGACTAGTTACTCGAGTTCTTAACTCTTTCTGTCAAGCCTAAACAAACGTGGCATTATTTGTCGGAAATTTATTTATTTTTGGGACTATATAGAAAGGGAAATGTGCTTCCAATTTGAAACAAAAATCTAAAATATGTAATTTTAAACTGCTCACAATTGTAAAAGGCTTGTTCTTTACACCTTGTGTTCTCTCCAAACAGATCTGCACAGTCTCGTCATGTTTCTCAAGCTGGGTAATATAGTATCAATAAAAGCTTAAACAGTCTTGCTAAAATATTTCATGCAGTTGATCCAAAAATCTCAATTGGATGAAAGTAGCACTTTGCCCCAAGGAACGGAAGGGGTTCTGATGCTTGGTCTGTCCCTTTCTTTAACGGGTTCATTGAAGGAACAGGGGAATTTGCTTTGTATGCATTTGCTTTTGGAGCCTGCAACGGGGGAGGTGTAACAAATTGTCTTTAATAGTATAATTGTGTGTAGAACTTGTAAAACGTGGTCATTCACAGATAAAACTGGAGTAGACATGCCATGGGTTTCCCTGGTGACTGTTCCATTTTTGAGATGAGACAACTCTGCATAGTCGCCATGTATACCTCGTCAGGCTAAAGTTTGTTTCTGGATATAGAGGGTGATGTCTCCTTCTTCCATGTTTACCAAAAAAATTATGAAATGTTGTTGTACACATTGTCTTAAATTGTGTTAAGGGAAACTGTAACCAAATTGTATGTTTTTTTTATATATTTTACATAGGGGGGAGGGAAAGAATCTGCCATATTAGGTATTTTGATCAAAATGTAAGAACTCTGAGAGAACCGTGTGTGTGTGTGTGTGCGCGCATATCTGTTGCTCAGCATTGTTGCTAGCAAAATGATCTGTAAGCCTCCCATAAACTTGAATCCTGAAAGTGGGAGACCATGTCTAGTCTCTGTAATTAAGAGCTGATAAAGTAAAGGATAACTTGGTATTAGGGTAGATTTTCGCGTGGGTGGAGGATATTTATTTTAGTTCATTTACCATTACCATGTATTTTGTGTCTTTTCAGTGGGATCATACAGGTGCTGCTAATCTCATGTAAATAAAATGCATCTTGAAGACCTAATCGCTTTAGATTTTGGAAGACTGCAAGCCTATGGGAAGCTGTTTGGCTGGTTTACACACCAGTTTTTCAAGGTTGTTGCTCCCAACCCAATTTTCCATTGAAATTTCCATAATGTGGCTTTGCTATAAATAGTGGAGGGCAGTAATTTGTCAGATGTTTTGTAAATATCTCTGGGTTTTCTGATCATCTGAAAAAGATCTTACTACCGTAGCAAGAGTGTATTATTAAAAGGAAATAAAGCCAGTTTCTCACACCATATATCTTCGCAGGGACAGCAAATGTTTATGCCTATAGACTGTTATTTTGATGGTGTATGAACACTGATCATCTAAGAGATTTGTGTAGATTTTCACAAAGCTTTCCTTTGGAAAACTTGCAACTAGTAACTTCTGAAAAGCCTATGGAAAGATGGTAGCCTTCTTATTGCAGTGATTAACTTTCCCATTGGAAAGCATTGGGAGGCTATTGCGCATGTGCTGCAAAATGCTGTGCCAATCAGAATCTCCTCATAGGTGCATTGCATCAATGAATCTCTTTGAGGAATGTTAAGCATCAACATGCAGAGTGAGGAGCCAATGATTCATTGCTGCATATTGTGCAGCCCTGATCCAGGAAGCATCTCTTGTGGATGTTTACATTACTGAAGAGGAACACTTCTAGTGGCAGTTATTCAAACACTGCTTTTTACTCTGACAGGGCAGTATTGGCATTGAAAAGCCTGCACGGATGTACTATACACGCCAGTATAACTTTATTAAGCTTTAGTTCTGGTGACTATAGTATCCCTTTAATTTTAAGGACGTGGCCAGGGGCAGGGCTGTATTCTAAAAAAAAAAAACTTATTGTAGTTTAGACACATTACTTTTATTGCTGTTGGGGAAACTCTTGTTAGACACTAAGAAATGCAAACAATATGGATCTGCTAGAAAAGCGGGACCAGAAGGATTTTGGTCCAAGATAGGGACTCTCCCTCCTAAATACCATTTGGGAGGTATGTTTTCATTCCAGCTTGACTATATATGCCATGAAGGAGAGTTACGGTTATATAGGAGAAGAGTTGGAAGGGAACTCATATTGACGTCAGAAGATGGGAATTTAATGAAGCTAGGATAAGGAGCACATAGCATGAGCTGAGAGGGGCAAATTAATAGATATTGGTATGTAAGTGGGTGACAGAGGAATAGTTGTAGGTGTTATGATAGTGGAAAGAAACCTTGAGGAAGCGTGGAATTTCTCCTGTGTAACTTTTTGTTGAGGATAAAGTGACAAATGCAGGAATGGAAAGTGGAAATAAAATGGCCAAAAAGGGTGGCTTAAAAGAAGTCTGCATTTAAAATGGGTCATGTAACCTGCGCTAGAATGTTTACTTGCAATTTGACATCCCTCAGACGTTCTGCTTCATTTTGTTTTGTGCATCTGTCATTGCATGTTTTATTGTATGTTTGTAACTGCTCCATAAATAATGGGTCTTCACCCAGGACATACTTGAAAACGAGAGAAATCTCAATGTATCTTTCCTGGTAAGATATTTTATAAATAAACTGCTCCATTCAGTACTGCAGACTTATTGCTATTTTTGTTTTTCAATGTTCTCATTTAAGTCTTTGGCAGCCCATGATACTCCATACTGATGGGAAAACCTTCGGGTTGTGTCTTGACATCCTACACATATGTGGTGACACAGCAGAACAGACCCTATTTTTGATGGTGGCTTTTGCTACGTTTCAAGCCAATCAATTGACTGCCAAAGGATTTACAGCGTAGTTGAGTTAGAATGTCTCCTCCATTCAGTCTGTGGAATCAGGAGATGATATTAGTAAATTTTATATAACAATGTTTGTTGAAATATTCCAACCGCTAAGGTGTGGGTTAGAGTGCATTGAAACATGCACAAAATCTTTTATAAAGTCCTTAATCATGTATGTAAAACTGTTCCGTAAACCAGGTTGTGGGTGATATATAATTTGCTTATACAAACTTGCCTAACTCTCTAAATAAGCATGAGATTTCTCCACTGATTTGTAGTTGGAGTCCTGGTTTAAATTTCACACTAAAGGCGAAGAATGGTGATGGTGGGATACTAAATCACACCGGTAAACATCTTTTGGTTTACATTATCTGCAGCTGTGAACTCTAGCTCAAAAATGAAAGGGTTAGGTAACTGCATAAAATATGCAGAATACAATTTTTAAAATACTTTGTGGTAGCCAGGAAATAGGTCTTTAACCCCTTAAGGACCAAACTTCTGGAATAAAAGGGAATCATGACATGTCACATGTCATGTGTCCTTAAGGGGTTAAAGACTAGCCAAACCTCACCCAGCATGTGGCTGGAAGATCATCACAAGAGACCACTATTTGGTGGTAAAAGTTGCAGAACGACTTGCTGGTTTACAATCTTTTGGGAAAACTTAAGTGCTAGGGCTCCAAACATCAAGTAGTGACTGCTACGAAAACTCTCATGGGTAGCTGTAAGAAAATCTGAAATTTAAATATTTTTGGGAAGTTTCACATACAGTCCATATGGAACTATGTTTATTATTATTATTATTATTATTATTATTATTATTATTATTATTGCCATTTATATAGCGCCAACAGATTCCGTAGTGCTTTACAATATTTTGAGTGGGGGGGATGTAACAATTAATAGGACTATTACAAGAAAACTTACAGGAACAATAGGTTGAAGAGGACCCTGCTCAAACGAGCTTACAGACTATAGGAGGTGGGGTATTAAAAACATTAGGACAGGAAATATCAAGTAGGAGTGAAGCAGAGCTGGAGGAGAGAGCAAAGCACTGTCCCATAGGAGAGAGCAGGAGACGGGTATGTAAGGTAGAGATTACTCTAGGAGGCCATACGCTTTCCTGAAGAGATGGGTTTTAAGGCCCTTCTTAAATGATTGAAGACTAGGGGAGAGTCTGATGGCAGTAGGCAAGCTATTCCATAGGAGAGGAGCCGCCCGCGAGAGGTCCTGCAAGCGCGAGTTGGCCGTATGGGTGCGAGCAGCGGTCAGGAGGTGGTCACGGGCAGAGCGGAGGGTATGAGGAGGGGCATAATCTATGGATTAGTGAAGAGATATAAGAGGGGCTAGAATTGTTCAGTGCTTTAAATGTATGGGTTAGCACTTTGAATTGACTCCTATAGCATACAGGGAGCCAATGTAAGGACTGGCAGAGGGGTGAGGTGTGAGAGGACTGACTAGAGAGAAAAATCAGTCTAGCTGCAGCATTCATTACAGACTGTAGTGGGGCAATACGGCTTTTGGGGAGACCAATCAGGAGAGGGTTACAGTAATCCATGCGGGAAATTAATAGAGCATGGACAAGCTCCCTGGTAGCATCTTGCGTAAGAAAGGGGTGGATGCGGGCTATGTTTTTGAGTTGGAACCTACAGGACTTGGCAACAAACTGGATGTGAGACTCAAAGGTGAGACCAGAGTCAAGTATGACACCAAGACAGCGTGCTTGCAGGGATGGACTTATGTGGATATCACTGACTTGAAGGGAGAGCAAGAGAGGAGGATCAGTATTAGGAGGAGGAAAAACAAGGAGTTCAGTTTT